TCACTCATGACGTGACCAAGCACACAGACTAACCTATGAGATTTCTGGAGTTTGGAACAGTGTAAAAGTCAGGCAGATAGATCCATTTAATGAGAGCTGAGTTCATCAACACTGGACTCTTCCATCTCCATGGGTAGTCTACAACAAGCACACAGAGAAGCAGAGACATACAACAATACACAAAGTGTTTAAGTAGCATTTATAGAAACATGTGTAAACATCCTCTCCGAAAAGTGCCCGACTGACACATAAGACCGACCTTTTGTAATCGGCCATAATTTAAATAAAACAAGTGAAATGGAGACAGTACGCACACCCCTGCATTTATCATTCCACACATCTATAAAACGACTAGCTGAGATACGAGCTGCCTCAGCTCATTCAGACGAAGAGCACATCCATCCACTACTGTTCATCCGGGCTGTACCGCCCCCTCATCAGCGGGAACACCGATGTGCTCTCAGGTCGGCCAAGTGATATAATCTCTCCAGCGTGTCCTGGGTTTTTGTTTGGGGGGGGGGGTTTGCTCCTGTTAGGACATTCCTGGAAAACTACATCCAGGAGGCTCCCAGAAACCATCCCAATCAGATGGAGGAACCACCACAACTTGAACCTTTCCATGTGGAGGAGTAGTGACTCTACTTTAAGTCCCCTCCCGAATGACTGAAGTTCTCACTCTACCTCTAAGACTGAGCCCATCCACCCTTGAGAGAGATATAATTTCCAAAGCCTGTATACATAGTCTCATTAGTGTCGTTATTACCCAGAGCTCATGGCCACAGGTGAGTGTAGGGACAGAGATCAGCCTGGTTTTTATGCTCAGCTCTGTTTGGACTGGACTGGTTCAGTGTCTGCATCATGGATGATGCACCTCCCAGTCTGAGGACCATGGTCCTAAGATTGCCCCCACCTGAGGAAGCTCACAGAACCAGCAATATCTGCAACAAGCAGGGCTGCATCTGAAGGGGGACATGGGGTGTATGAGACCCAATTTATTTTAAGGCTTAAGTAGATATTAATACAACTGAAATATTTGAAAATGTAACAATAAAAGCTTTTTGGCAGCGTAATAAAACTGTACATGGGCCAGTAAAGCTCTTTTCTGTTAGGCTTTTAGGTTGGACACTGAACTGTTATTAACATTCATTATTAACATATACAATTACAGTGTCAACTACACACCTGGGCC